TTGCCAGCGTTCCCTAAATTGATGTATATATGCAGTACAGTTTTGATTTAAAAAATTCTATAAAAATGACAAACTTATCTTAAAGTATACATTGAAAATCAAATGTGCCTAAAGCAGTAAAACTCTTTTGCAGAAGAATAATTGGGTAACTTTCCCTGCTCGTTTTAAATGTTACAATTGGACTTAAGATACACCTACGTAGATGTATATATGTGCATCCGATAGTACCCCACAAACATCTATAATTTTTGATAGATAAAAGAAAATACACTTTAAAAAAATACACTTTCTGTAAAACAGTAGTGTCAGGACTGTGTAACATTGCATGAGGACAGTCACGTCAAACAATGAAAATGAACAGGAAGACCAGAAAATCCTTACAACATACAAATTGAGCTTCAACACAGTGCCAGGGCAATCCTGTTGAGAAAAGAAAGCAAAAATGATTTTGAAGCTACTGGATATCCATATGTGTAGAAGGACATTGTAACCCTAGAAGGTCAGCGAGCACAGGATTACAACTGATAGGATAGCATTTGTAGAACAGCTGGATGGATGCCATTTGTGTGACTGATTGGATATCCTTTGTATGAGAACTGAGTGTGTACCATCCCTATAACGAAATGAATGTCATTTGTATGAGAACAGCTGAGTGGACAGCATGGGAATGAGAGCACTTGGTGGAGTATACAAAACAAGAGGAGGTGCAAACAAAAGTATAGAAACAGTTGATGTGGTTTGTTGATCAGCTCAGTACCTCCGCCCTTATCCCATATGCCAGTAATAAACTTCAGCTTCTGACTATCAGTCAGAGTCCACACCTGTTATTATCAGCTCCATGCACCAAGTCCATCTAGGCCAGACAGCGCCATGTATGCAAAAGATAAAAAGTAAAACAAAACATAAATTAAAAATCCTCACCTTACATTATGTACGGAAACTAATGAAATTGGATCCCAAATACCTAAGAAATTAAAAACAAGCAAAAGGAGTGGATGCTTGGTGCCTCGGTTAAAATGCTGCTTGAAGTCATCGCTTCCCATATCGGGATGTTTGGGTTCAAGTCCCAGCTCCCTTCTTTATTGTCCCAATGTACATGGTGGGAAGCAGCAGCAGTGATGGCTCAATAGTTGGGGCCCTACGGTCCAGTGGAAGATTCATTTGGAGTTCCAGGCTTGGCTTGGCTGGGCTCTGAGAGCTGCAAGCTTTTGGGCAGTAACCCAACAGATGGAAGACCTCTGTCTCTCTTTATTTCCATCTTTCAAAGAAATAAAAAGAAATTTAAATTTTTTTTTTTATAAAACCTTAGTTCTGCCCCTAACTTGTTTAAAAAAATAACAGAAATGGGCAAAAGATTTTGAGCAGATATTTAGTTAAAGAAAACACATGAATGTCTGAAAAGATGAAAACATATGAATGAATGACAAGATGATCAACATCATTATACATTTGGAAATGCAAATTCAAATGCTGAGATTCTACCACACATTTAATGGAACGGTGATAAGCTAAATGCCAAGTGTTGGCAAGGATTTGGAGAAACTAAAACCCTGATAGGCTGCTGATGAAAATGCAAATTGATACAGTCACTTCACAAGCAATGTGTCAGTTCCTCGGAATGTGACGTTAATGAAATTACTTAACTCTTCGGTAATTTTACTCAGAAATATACCCAAGAGAAATGAAACTGTGCCCTGTTAAGAGTTTTTGTAAATATTTATAACCATATCATTCAACTAACAAAAAAAAATTAGGAAACAAGTGAAATATTTGTCACTTGGTGAATGGATAAAGAAAATCGACAACTTATTTTTGCTCTGAAATATTATTCAGCGATCAAAAGGACTGACCTGTCAATGCGTGCTACAACATGGAGAAACGAGGCTAAGTGAAATAAGCCAGGCGTGAGAGAAGACTCGCTGCAGAATTCCTGGGAAGTGACATTATTAGCAAAGGAAATCTGTCGAGGTGCAAAGCCTGATTAGTGCTACTCAGGGGTAGAGGTCATGATGGGAGAGAACATTGGGGGTTGAGGCAAGCAGGGCAGAAGTGGGTTAGGGAGAGAGTAACTATAAATTTACTTTAAAAACAAAATCATCGAACTGCTCATGCATTATTTTTTTTTTTAAAGATTTATTTTTTTATTATTTTTTCATTGGAAAGGCGGATATACAGAGAGAGGAGAGACAGAGAGGAAGATCTTCCGTCCGATGATTCACTCCCCAAGTGAGCGCAACGGCCGATACTATGCCGATCCGAAGCCAGGAGCCTCTTCCGGGTCTCCCACGCGGGTGCAGGTTCCCAAAGCTTTGGGCCGTCCTCGACTGCTTTCCCAGGCCACAGGCAGGGAGCTGGAAGGGAAGCGGGGCTGCCGGGATTAGAACCGGCGCCCATATGGGATCCCGGGCGTGCAAGGCGAGGACCTTTAACCACTTGCGCCACCGCGCCGGGCCCTGCTCATGCATTATTTATGAGCACATTTATGGCATGAAAATTATGGTCCAATGAAACTGTTAAAAGCAGAAATTTTAAATCTCCCTGTTTACAAATGTTCTTAATTCATGCAAAGAAGTTTGATGGGGCAAGCACTGTGGTGAAGCAGGTTTCCATGCTGCTTGGAATGTGTTTTTGCACACCTCCCAGACTTGGCTGTTTTGTTCCCACTGGATACCTAAAGGACCTCTGCATCCCAGATTGGAGTGAGTGTCAGGTGGGTTTGTCCTCCACCTCCATTCTAGCTTCCTGATAACTCACCCCAGAGGCAGCAGCTGACGGCCTGAGTGCTGCAGTTCTGCCGTCCACTCCAGAAACCCACATGGAGCTCCTGCATTCTAGTTTGTCCTGGTGTAGCTAGCCCTGGCTGTTGTGGTGGGACCTGAGGAGTGAGCCAGTTGATTAAAAAAATCATGAAAACTAGCAATATCTAGAGAATAGCACCTTGCTGTACTTGCTGATATTGGGGTGTGTGTCTCCAGATGATGATGGCAATTCTCCAAAAATCCGCATGATGGTCACATCTTGATTAATTTGCAGCACCTGCTCTGGTTTCCTTCCAATAAGGAATTTTTTTCTTAAATTGGTGGCATGATGTTATTTTTGAGATTTTTGAGTTTCAGAATTGGTCAGGCAAGCCTACATGTTCCATCTTGTCATTTTGTACAGTTCTGTATATCTAATTAAAGCTTCTTTCAGGTCTGTAAAAAGACCTAATGTGAAAAAAAAAAAAAGCAGAGTGTGTCAGAAAAAAGAAAGCCTAGGGCAGTCTGGAAAAGGGGGGTCCTTCATTAAAATAAGCACATTTGCTTAAATATAAAGGAAAGCCGTAACATATTAGTTGGCACTTCATTTTTAAAAAATATTGCCCAAGTATAATCAGATTCTATTGCCACATTTATGGTACACAAAAATGGGTCATGTTCATCCCCGCCATACTGTAGCATCCCAGTAAGTAATTGCAAATAAAGAAATGATTTACCATGTGGCTGGAACTCTGTCTCCCTCTTTGTAAGAAACAGTTGAGTTTATTTTAAATCGGTTCCTTATTCCCCCCTTCCCCCCCCCCCCGTTTGCTTATTGTTTTGCTATTCTGATGTTCTCATTTCCTGCAAGAATCTATTCAGAAGTTGAGTTACACAGCAGCAACATAAATACTCTTATAGATCATGGTTACTGTTCTGTGGTTCCTGTTATGTCTGGGGGCTCCCAGAGTGGAAACTTCAACCACAATTCCCTTGGGAGCCACCAGCGTGGTACTGTCCCCCATTCACTTGACTATAGGGTTCCCTGGACAGGGAAGCAATACCTTCTCTAACACAAAAAGTGTGTGGTCTTCCTGCTTTCCAACAACCCCCAAAACGAATCTCACAGATCCAAGTGAGGAGCCCTTCTGGTTAGAGCTTTGATACGTGTCAGACTTTCCCACGGTGCCGGAGGCTCAGCCGGACGCTGTCCCGTGTGCCCACTCTCATTCCCATGGCGCCTTCATAGTAAACCTTGCTTGTTATTCTGACAGCCACACTGCCTCCCAACCGCTCATGCCCACCTCCCCGTGATCCTCAGGACAAAGTTGAAGAAGCATAAGAGCCTGGAAGGACAGGCGTCTGACATGTTGTGGGTCATCAGAAAGATCCGCAAAGAATGGCTCGATTTACCCTTTCCATCCGGAGAATTCAAGCCAACTCGCTGGGAGTTGGAACTGCTCTTTCCCGCTTGTGGCCTTCCTTGCGCCGTCCTTTCTGGGGAGGTCAGAAAGGGAAAATGGGGTTGCAGACGCCTGCCTGCTGTCTTCTGGCTCGTTGGCTGTGTGAGGAACCACGAGAGGAACCTCCCGTGAGTGTCCAGCTTCCAGAGGTGGCAGGTGGGCGTCCTCGTTCCACACACCACGCACTCCCCTTTCCCGAGCAATCCCCGACTGCAGGCTCGTCCATGCTTCCCGCGCTGCTTCCAGGGACCACCAGGCCTGGCCAGTGTCTGGCTGAGACACTGCAAAGGCTATGTGACAGATACTGGGCTTTTCTCCTCAAAGAGCCACAAAAGTCAGTAAAATTCTTTCACATTGGGCCCAGATAGAAGAAACGAGAGTAAAAATAATGTTGTGTATTTGTGTGCACATAACAGAACTTCCTCCTTGGTCGCTGGGCGCTAGTTGGAGCGAGCACCTCGTGCCCCTAAGGCTGCGGGCTTCCTACCCTCTCATCTGCACCGACGGCTACCACTACTTTTCCCGGGCCATTGTTCCCGCGTCGCTGGGGCTTCCCCCTCTAGCGTCCCCCCCGACTTCCTTCCGTCACTCGCCCCGCAAGCCCCACTTGTTTCCTGGGGTCCCACGCGCAACGCCGTCTGCTCCGACGCCCTCGGGCCGCCTGCAGGTGCGCCCCGCCCTCCTCGGGCCCCGCCCCCGAAGCCCCGCCCCGGAGTTCGCGTCACGGTGACGCGCGCGCCGCGCAGGCGCCATTCGGGGCCCGCCCTCCTCCCCGAGGCCGGCCGCCCGCCTGCCCGCCCTCCCGCCCGCTCGGTATTATGATAAACGCTGGGTGCGGGGCTTCGGCGGCCGGGAGGGAGTTGTCGGCGCCGCGGCCGCTGCGGACGGACGGCCGCCGTCCTGCTGAGGTAAAGGAGGGCGAGCTGGGCCGGCGGGGCGGCGGGGGGCGCGCGCGGCCCGGGGAGCGGCGGCGTCGGGGATGAGGGGTGTCCGGGCCGGCCTCGTCAGCCGCCACCTCCGCTGGTCGCTCCGGGACCGGACGCCCGGGGCCGGACGGGCCGCCGCCGCCGCCGAGGGCGGAAAGTAAGTTGTGCGCTCGTCCGGGGAGGACGCGGCGGCCGCGGGCCTGGGCGGCGATGGGGGGGGGACCGGCCCCCGAGCGGCCGGCGTCCCTGCGGCGGGCGGGCCCTGCCCTTGCGGCCGCGGCGGGATTGCGGCACCTTCGGGGAGGCGCCCGCATCCCCGCGCCCCGCCCCGGAGCGGGCCCGAGCGGAGCGGGGAGGTCGGGGCAGCTCGGGGGGTGCTTCTCCCTTCCCCGAGCGGAACATGGAGAGACGTGGGACCGCAGCGCGGAGGGGTGCCTCGACCCCGACTGCAGCCTTTTTTTTTTTTTTTTTTTTTTTTTTTGCAATGGAACCGGGGTGGGGGGGGATGTTGTTGTCCGCGGAGAAAGGGGAGCGGGGTGAGGGAGGAGGAGGAACAGGGCCATCCCGAGGGACAGCTAGAATTTTTCTGGTTGGGAAGCCTGCGTTCTTCTCCGTAGTCATCGCCTGTTGAGTTCTTTTCTGGAACAGTTTTTTTTTGGGGGGGTGGGGGAGTGTGCGAGGGGAGGAAGCCCTACCCTCTCCTGTCTCGCTCGGACTGGGATCTCGGCGCAGTTAGCAGGCTTAATTTCTGGTTTTATTTGTTTTTCCTGGGCGATTCCTCGCAGTTGGATCAGATAACGCTCTAGGAGCTTCGTAAGGAGTTCGGGCCGGGCGCAGCCCTGGGGGAGGGGAGGGGGGAGAACTTGGCAGTGAGATGATTGTATCTGTAGACCGGTGACGATTTGGGAACTTTGGAATTGTCAGGCTGGTGTCTCCCGCTCGGTTCCTTGGAGAGCGTTCTCCGAGTCTGTGAAAGAGGCGGCAAAGCCCGGGGCATGTGTTCTAGATTGTAATCAGAGGTCAGGTGCAGACTGGCTAGCCGGTGGTGGTGGACCTGCAAGCGGCCAGGCGTATTGTTGAATCTTCACACTGAAAAGGCCCCTGCCAGGCGTTCCTCACAGGGCTTGGGGCGCCCTGTCCCATCCCAAATTGGTCTTTATCAGCGTGTTTATCAAAGTGTACTTCCCAGCCTGGGTTGTCAAGACTTATGTAATCAACTTGTTAATTTATAATCCTGTTCCATTGCTTTGCAGATTTATAAAACCATTCCCTTAAGGAAATCTGTCTTCAACGTCTGCTTACATATTTCTCTTGGAGTTGGGTTGCAGGACTGGAATGTACTGTTCAAGTGGAGATCCCAGCACATTAATTAGGCAGGTTGATGGTTGTTCATATTGGTCTGTCTGGGTGAGGGGACAGGTGCCATTCCCATAGGACAGGTCTAGAAATGAGACAAGTGATGGGACATCCCAAGGTCACACGTGGAGTTGAGTTAGAAATCAACTGCACAGTGCCAACTGTCCTTGATGCTCCCATCATCAAGATTTTCCAGGCAAGGGTTTTGAGGGCTGCCTTTCAGTTTTTAAAATTTGCATAGCTTCTTTCTATTGTCTCATGTTGTGCACAGAATTACTGTACTTGTATTTATGGTTCTGAATACATTCCCCTCACTCCCCGTGTTATTGCAGTAAGATCATTAGTTTAAAATGCAGTGGAGGGCCTGGTGCGATAGCCTAGCAGCTAAAGTCCTCCCCTTGCACGCAGCAGGATTCCATATGGGCTCCGTTTTAATCCTAGCAGCCCTGCTTCCCATCCAGCTCCCTGCTTGTGGCCTGGGGAAGCAGTCGAGGATGGCCCAGGTCCTTGGGACCCTGCACCCATGTGGGAGACCCGGAGGAGGCTCTGGGCTTCTGGCTTTGGATCGGCTCAGCTCTGGCCATTGCGGTCACTTGGGCTGTGAATCATTGGACGGAAGATCTTTCTGTCTCTCCTCCTCTTGGTATATCTGACTTTCCAATAAAAAATAAAATCTTAAACAAAACAAAACACAGTGGAGCTCAGAAGTTGTGTTAATTTACATTTTTTTTTAGATCAGAAAGGTAGAGTGGGCTCCTGTGGCTCAGATTTATCCCATAACCTACAGGAAAGGCTTTCACTGTCCCTGCTGGATTGAAGAATGCTGGGGACGTTTGTGCATCCCTCAGGAAGAGGTTCTGGTGTCCAAACCAGGCAGGGAACACCTGGCCCGCAGGCCGTACAGGGCAGCCTCCGGCTGGGACTTGAAATTCAATCAATCTATTGCAGACTAATTTTTAAGTTGATCGTTTTGTTTGCCCCACAGATTTTATTATAAATACCCACTGGTCCTGGCAGAAAATGTTCCCCAACCTGAACTAAACCTTCACTGTGGGTGTTGTTTTCCTACAGAAAGTGAAACTAAATAGAGAAGTTACTGAGTTTTGGAGCTCCTCAGGGAACTGTCGTTCTAGGTTTGGGTATAAATAAGGCATCTTTTTCTTTCCTGTGGGAGCTTATCTGAGGCTAACAGCTCATACTGCCCAGGAAGAAAAGGGACATGGGACCCTTCCTTGAGGCCAGGACCTGAGCAGGTAAATTCTTAGAGCAGCTTACTTAGTGGGGAAAGTTGAGTTGATTCTAGCAGCGTGAAAGATACACTTAGCCTTTGGTCATTTATTAATGAAGCTTTGTGTTTCTGTTTTTGGGGCCCTGGGATTGAAGGTAGCAATAGGACAGTAGACATGAAACAGTTGCTGTGTTTAGGAGTTAAAAAGCAGTTGGGGAGCAGCAAGGTAGACCAGGAGGATAGGAAGTGCTGCCTGTGGTGGTGAGGGCTGGAGAGGGCTGTGAGCACTCCGTCTTGGGGGTGCTTCACAGAAAAAGTGGTGGTTAAAGTGGACTCAAAGGGTGCTGGAGAGGGAGGGTGAGAGGACCAGACCAAGTGGCTGGCCAAGGACTGAGACCCAAGTGGGTAAAAGGGAATTGAGGAGGTAGAGGCAGCGCAGCTGTTCCTTCTTCAAAGCATTTGAAAGGATGCGCAGGATGGGGCCCTGGCTTTGGGAGGACGAGGAAGGAGTTGGGTGTTCTGTTGGGGTTTGGACAGCACTGGTGTAAAATCCCTCAGGCTCGGTGAGCCGGCCCTGGAAGTGTGTTTCTGCACCGCAGAGGAGCTCGCTTCCTCCTGGCTTTCCTGCACAGCTGTGCTGGGGTGTGGCCTTGTGTCCCACGGGAAGCTCGTTGCTTGCCAGTGGTGGGGGAGGGACCGCTCAAGACGATCTCTGCTCTGTCCAGCCTGGCCGTTGGTTTTTCTGTGGTCACTTCCAGGGCCTGCTGAAAGCCGGCTTGGGTAGGCTCTTCCAGGCCACGAATCAGGCCGCTCCCCCTTTCTTTGCTTAGCTTGGGTCCCCAGTCTCCTGGCACATGGCTGCTCACGGTTCCTTCCAAGTCAGAGGTCTAATCCCTGGGCTGTGATCTTGGAAGGTCTGGAGAGTGTGCAGACCCAGAGCAAGGCTCTCTGTGAATGCACGTGCCTCCCCGCTGTACATCATACTCACCTGGGCTGATCACTGGAGCTGTGCGGCTGTGCAGTGTGAGTGAACAGAGCCCTGTGGGCCGTGGGTCTCTCCTGTGGACAGGCCGCTGTCTTTCTCACACCAGAGGACTCGGCTCCTCAAAGGGAGGACGACCTCCCAGACCGACCAGAATCGTGTCTGGGACATCATCCTGCACTCGAGAGATAAGCATGTCATCTTTGTTGTTCTTTATCACTCTGATAATAGAACTGTACCTGTTTTAAATCAATAAGGTTGGATTTAAAGTGTTCAGTCATACTGTTCTAGAGCCAGAGACAGATCTTCTGTCTGTGCTAGCCTGTTGTAGAGGCGCAGGAGGTGTTTGTTCCTGGTCTTTCTGCCCAGTCAGAATGGCGTGGCCAGCCTCCGCTCTGCTGGAGTGGGTCTTGATGTCCCTCTGGGTTCCACCCCCCTGGCCACTGAAATCTTGGATTCTGCTTCTGAGACACGGTTCCCCACTGCATCCTCTCGGTGTCTGTCCTTATGTTAAAGACTAAGTAATCGTTCACCTGGGGACACCACCAGAAGTCCCCTTACCTGTCCCCCAGCCTCGTCTTGCCTGTCCAGATGGTTGGTTAAGCTGCTGGCTGATTGCTGCTCCCCTGCCGAGTCCTTTTTGGACCTCTTCTGCTCGCCTTGGTTTGTTCATTGAACTATGCATTTTGAGTAGATGCTGAGCTTGGCAAGCCCTGGGATAGACATGAGCTTAAGTGCACTGAACTGACCATTTATCCAGTGGGGTGGGTGGATTGTTCCCCTTGCACTGTTGATTGTGACCCCATGGTTGTGAAGAGCTGGATTAACCAAGGACCTGGTGCCGAATGTGGGAGCTGTGGAGGCGCATGAGGAGGGCAGGAGGAAGTCGAGGCAGAGACCTGTAAGTAGGGTACTGACGCGTGGGCAAGGACCAGCCAGACAAGGCCCTTCCTGCCTAGCTGATTGGGTCTGCTGATTGGACCTGACTCTCTCAGGTCTCTTTCCTGGAAAGCTTCCTCTCATTATTGCCAATTTCAATTCTTAGCTTCCACATAGAGTAGTTTTCTCTGGGTTGCCTTCTATGAATTCCCCAAGGCAGATTGGAGAGAAAGAACAAACAGCTCCTTTTATGCGTCTGTTCCTGTGAGCAGTTGGGAAGGTCGAGTCGGGAAGGGCCCCAGTGTATCCTGCAGAGGTGCTCAGGAGCCAGTGTGTTGGGCCTGTGGTAACATTAAGACGGTGAACTAGATGCAGCCCTTCAGATGCAGGAGAATTGTGGGAGGGAAGCCAGTTCTGAAAAGTTAGGGGGAGAGAATTCTTGAGTCATTTTGATCCCACTCACAGCTTGTTAATGTATATTATCCCATTTAGCTTTCACAATAACTGTCCAAAGTGGTAATTATCATTGTTTTATAG